TTTAAGAATACGACGGCAGCGGTCGGGATGAGCCAAGGCTGGAGCTAAAGCAAAGCTGCAGAGCTCTCTGGAGTGGAGAGCTATAGCTTGCAAGTTCCCACTAAGGAAAAAGCTCCAGGCGGCACGACTCGGCGAGACGCGGGGCTAGGCCAGCATCGAAATGTAAACAATCTGAGGGGCTGGCAGCGCAGGTCGCGCGCGTTCGGTGAGGCGCAAAGAAAAAAGGACTTGGGCAAATGGAATTGAATCTGTGCCTTTTCACTTCTCGGCTTTGGCGAGAAACAAGGGCTTTTGTCTCGTCTCAGCGTGCCACAGACGGCAGAAGCGAGGCACATCGCCACACATTTTTTAGCCAAGAGACAAATCCCGGCTCGCTCGACGTCACTCGAGCTTGCCACTCGGCAGGAGCTCCCAAGAAAGAAATGGCAAGAGCGCACATGCAGTCCCTGGCGCTAGTGCGCGCGTTCTGTCTCTGTGTCTCTCTTGTCCATCTTTTCATCTCTCTTTGAAGTTGAAGATGCAGTGGTGGGTGGAATTGAATCATCAGATCAGTTCGAGTAAAAATCACAAACTCACCGAATCGCGCACGCGGAGGAAGCTGTCGTTGTCGACTACGCGCTGGGGCACGCCGGACACAACAGGCGCGGGAACTACTGCTGGGTGCAGGCCGCCGACGACGGGCGCGGGAACCATGGTGGGAGGAGGCACAACGGCAACGGGGAGGGCCTTGGCCTTTTCCTCGGCAGACTTCTTGGGCGGGCGAGGCATGGTGGATGATGACGAGTTTGGTGGTTGCTAGTGGGCGCGGTGCTGCTGGAATTTTGGGCGCGTTGCGGTGCGGTGCGGTGCGCCTCTTGTAGCTTCTCGCTTTGCTGCTTTGTAGGGCTCAAAAAGGCAGATGCGCTGTTGCGATGTTCTGCAAGAAAAAGGCCGCTGGAAGCGATCTAAATGATAGCGGGATGAGGGTGAAAAGTGGTGCGGCTCGGGGGGATTGATGGGAGGGGAAGAGTGCTGAAGAACGGGGGAAAATAGAATTTCGGGGGTTGGGGCTGGGTGGTGGGCGGTGCGCCCAATAAGTACCTGAGCCGGCAATCTTGGGTGCGTGCGCAATCAGCAAGTGGCAGCCGCAGCGGTCGATTTTTTCTCTGGGTGCTCTTTTTTTTTTTTGGGCTGGCGCCCCTCCCAGCCCCCTCCCACACCCTCCAAGGCCAGGTAGTACTCCGCTATTTTTGCGGTGATTGATCGTGCTAACAGCACCCGCTGCATTTTCTGGCGCGTACGCACACAGTCGACTGGCTGCTTCGACTGGAAACCGAAATCTCTGCACAGCCGCGGGCTCCAGCCCAACCAGAGACCCATCCCGCTCGCGCGCTGATTTTACTTGAAGCAGCGGCTGCTTGCGCTGTTATCAATGGCCCTCTGTGCGAAAGACGGCCTTGCTATGCCCTGCCCTGCTCTGATAGCGAGACCCCGCACTGCGCCCGTGGCCTGTTCCTCAGCACAGCAGCGAGGCCGCTGGACGCGCTGGGCTCTGGCCACTGGAACCTGTAGCCGGCCGCGGATATCCGCACGATAAACCGACCGGGCGCCCTGCTGTAGTGCTTCAGCAGAGGCAGCGCCCCTCAGCCGTTGCGTTGCTCATGGCACGCTCAGCTTACCGCTGGCAGGATGGAAGTTGGCCTGAAAGCCAGCTTGCTAGGTTGAGGCCATTGTCTGCCCACAGAACACCTAGAACCTCCTGTGAATTTCCCTCGCAGCGCAGAGCTCATCTCCATCCACGCCAAAGCTCTCGACAGCAGCAGCCTACATCACGACAGCACCATGCAGCCTAGCAGTTATCAACAGACCTGGCAGATCCAGCATAGCCCAGCCGCTATGCATCTCAGTGGGCGGTCAAGTCGCCCGCTCCACCTGCACGTTCTTTCCTCTTCGCTGGACTTTTTCTCTCGTCTAGACACATCATATTTTATACCAAGCACTTCGTACTTTGTGCGTACTCTCCTATTATTTCTGATGCAAGGTCATTTCGTATTGTGATCGTGTCACATGATGTTGCCGTCGTCGTTGGTTTTGAATGCGCCATGCTGTCCAGATGAGCTTGCTGCGCGCCTTGTGTTGGTTTTCGGCTGCCGGCGTGTCCATTACTGACCCTCTGGAGCCGCCTGTTCTCGAGCTTGGTGGTCCAGCAATACCTGCCGGCTACCTTCTGAAATGCCCCCGGAGATGGCGTTCGCTCTCTGGAGATTGGATCTCAGCCAGTGCTGGGGGCAATCCCGTTGATCGAGTCTCTGCACGGTTACACTGGGACGGACAGCACCCGACAGGCCAATTGAAGCCCAAGAATGCTAGCGGTCGTCGGGGGTCTCTGGCGCCGCGGCGTACGTGGCGTACATCTCAGCACGATGATGAATGCCCCTCATCACTGGAGTTTCAGCGCCTAAAAGCGGCAAGTCGTTGCAACTGAGCAGACCGCTGTCTGGCGTTTACCGCTGGCTCGGCTCGCTGATCTAAAAATGTCAGCGGGCAATTGAAGCTGGCTGGAATCAAATCGCCAGCGGGCGAGCCCTTGGAAGTGCCTTGGGCACTCGCTCCTGCCTTGCGCCCTGCACAGGCTTACCCCGCCTCTGGGCGCACCTGATCGTCCGACACACTCGTTCCTTCCTTCCCTATGGTCCAAGTCAATGATGTCTCGACTGGCTGAGATGGTACTATTTTTGCGCTGTGAAATGCGAGAGAGCACCTAACCAATGTAGAGCTGTTCTCTCATAGGCACACGTACCTAGCTCACAAACCCGCCACGCAGTAGAGTAGATTGCACATTGGGGTGAAAACGCGCCTGTAGATGGACTTGACCAATACCATCACTGCCACCCAGCCTGAGCAGCTTGGGAGCTTCTATGACGACGCTACTAGAAAGCCCGTAGCACACCTGCCTCGACCATGTAAGCACCAGATTGGCAGCGCAGGCTTTGAGACAGTAGCATCCTCGCTCGATCAGCGCGTGCATTAAATCGAGATCTGAGCAGCGGGTGACAGAGCTAGAAAAGTCTCCCATCTGTTAGTTCCTATTATATTCACCTACGTTGATATTATATCTACATTGTTAGCTTCCAAGTTCTTGAGTGATTGCTTCAATACCTGATATGTACTCGATGCGTCGCTGTTTATCAGGCTCTTGTCGGGCAGTAACTGGCGGGCTATTTGCCACCTGCCAGTGCTTCTTTGCTCCCCATATAGGCATTTAACTACAGGCATGTGGCAATTCTCAGCAGCTTCAGCACTACTCCATCTAGAATTAGAGCATTAGTGCTCGTATTGATCGCCTTAGCTGTCATCAAGCCTCCATAGAGCGCGTTGAGCTGGATGTATTAGCCAGCACGGTCCTTTAGCGGCAGCCTCAGCTATTCGCAGCCCTTGCGTTTACAAATCTGCCACACTGAAGCACTTCTCCTAAGCGATCTCGCCATCACTCGCCATCATGGTTCCTATTTTATTCTTTTACAGATGTTTGAGAGACTGTCTTCTTGATATGTACTCATAACAGACGATTACAGACGATTACAGACGATTACAGACGAAATATTAGTTATTAGCATCGCAGATCTAATCTTACTAGAGAAAGCAAGAGTATCGAGCTTTGCATCATGCTCAAGCATTCACCGATACCAACTTCTTTCATCCGAAGGATGCGAATATCCAGATGGAAACAAACACAGTGATACAGCAGTCATTGCGGCGCCAAAAGACCAGAGGCGGTCTTGACAGACAAGGCTGTGGCTACGTCAATAAAAATTGTGCCTCATCATTACACGTATAGCATCTGTAGCTGCTCAAGCAGATGGTTCCTTTCTCTTTATGTCCTTACGATCTTGATTGCGGCTCTTGAAGTCTTTTCAGCGGACCGCGTATCAATGTATCACACGTACTCGCCCTACTTACTTTGCTTGTAAGCTGCCGGACAGCTCTTCAATTTACAGGTTTTAGTATCGTAGTGGGCACGCGATGCGGCGCCACAAACCAGCCTGAGAAAAGTCGAACTTTATAGCGGGGTTTATGAAACGGCAGCGACATGCAGCCAGCCAGAGCCTGTGTGAGGCGAGAGACTGTGGGAGGATGAATCATCAGGTTCAGCCCTACAGTACACGGGCCACGAGGCAATATCGTTCTCAGCTCAGTTCAGCCTTGTCATCTCAACCTCCATCCGCGCATACCTCGCTATCAAAGGGAAAGCTCTCCATATTGGACGGCATCTGCAACGCGTCCAAGCGTTCAATGTTGTCGGTTTAAAAACAAAGTATCAAGTAACCTTACCGCCGTCCCACCGCCGCCGCCACTCAAACTGCGCTTCCATCATGCGTCAAAAGCAGGACCCCTGGCCGGAACAGATAGCGTCTGCCACAAGCGCGGCCAGGTACTTGCGGTTTGTATGCCGATTCCTCCAGGCGCACAGATATCTTCATCCCCCACCCGCGCACAGATATCTTCAATCCCCACCAGCGCACAAGCCCGTCTCAAGTCCGCCGGCACTGTTTCTTAGGCCCCTTGCAACATGATTTCATATGTCCATGACTGGCCATTCATGTCCCACGATGCTCGCCAAGTCTCCAGCGGTTTCCGGGGCCTGGCGCTCCTGGTTGGGCCCTGGAGCATATGCCAAGACTTTCTCTAACGGCTGATCCAGCTGCCGATTGGGCGAGCTTCGTGGTCCGGTGCTACCAGACGAAATGCCCCTCCATAACGCCCCTCCTTCGTCCTTTTTTCGTCTCATCCGCCTGGGGATCTGGTCTTTTTAGAAGTCTGATTATTCCCTCTTATTTGTCTTCTTCTCTTTCTCTTCTTCTTCTCCCCTACTTTTCCTGCTGAAGCTTGTACCAAACCAGCTTGCGTCCTATAACCTACATATCGGGTATTCTATATCGATCTTACTTTAACAGCGACAAGCTGGGTACCACATTCCACCGACATCGAATAGTCAGGCCATAACTTCAAGGAGTGACACGATGATCGACTTTAGAGCGCCTGGCTTCCTCTTGGGGCTGGTCCTCCTTGTTTGCTTGGTTCAGCCGGCAGCAGCTTTCGGCGCCGGTAACATTGCATCCATCTCCAAGGTCGAGGGCCAGAACTGTACGTCACCCCCCTTAGTGCTTCTAGCCTTTCGTATAGCTAATTGCAACATCTTTCTACAGGGCGACACGGTGACATCGAAGATGCGCTGCTCACCCTGGCCATGGCTCATGCCATCAAGGGCGGCCAGAAATTCAACAAGCGAACCGTCTCCCGAGTTTACTTTGGCAACTGGCTGCGTGACTACTCCCAGGCCATCGATGTTGGCACCGTCAAGATGGTGTCTGCTGAGGCTATCCGACTGCTGCTTTGCGTTCTTGGCTTCATGTCCTTTGGCTACGGCTCTGGAGAGTTCGAGGTCACGGCCGAACGTCTCGGGTGCTACCGTCCCGAAGACCACATCGACAACCCCAAGGGCTACGCAGAGGGTGAAGATGCTCGCGACTATGATCCTCGCCTGAGAGGTCCCATTGAATCAGTCGAGCTTGAAATTGACGAGGAAACCGGCATGAAAAACTATATTGCCAACGAGGAAGTCGGCATCATGACTTCTGCCAGGCATGTGCGCCTTCTATTCGGTCGCTGTATTGAGCTGGCTCGCGAATACAAGCACTCGGGAAGCAAGCCAGAGCTCTATGAAGCGCTTCGATTGATGGGAACCGGTCTTCATTGTCTAGAAGGTGAGCACAAGCCATAATCAAGAAAACAGCCTCATTTGTTTGGCATAATAATGCATGGCTGAATACATAGCCTGCGGGCTGACTGCCAACTTACCCCTTTTCCATCCGAGAAGAAAATCAATAGCTAATATTCTTATAAATAAATAGATTTCTTCGCTCATAGCAACTACATTGAGCTTGCGCTTATTGAAATGGGCGAGCGCGAAGTCTTTCCCCATGTTGGCAGCAACACTCGGATTCAACTGGAGGGTGCTCGCGATTTGGTCTATCCTATCGTAACTGGTACCTTCGGAGGCGTGGATTTCCTCCACTCTGTCACTGGAGAAGGTAGGCACGGATTCCAATTCTCACCATAATCTGATGTCATCATAATTAATGCTTTCCAGTATCCGATAAGTTGACTCAAAACGAGATCGACGAGCTTGAGGGAGCACTTAACGAAGGCAAGAACGGAGATACGAGCCTTCTTCAAACTCTCCTCAGCAAACTCCCCCCCGGTATCCTTCCTGGAAGCAACCAGGGAGACAAGCTCGACGAGATCCAGTCGAATGCGGCTGCCGCCCAAGAAGAACACCAGCCAGTCTCTCCAAAGGATACCGAAGAATTCACCATGTACATCCAAAATATTTACAGGGCGATCATGCCAGCCATCGAATTCCACGATAGCATCATGAAGAGCATTAGCTCCGCGGTTGAAAGAATCCCTATCCTCCCCAAGATTATCGAACAATTGGAGGAGCAGCTGTCTGTTTTCGTTTTCTCCATCATCGCGCCCTTTATTGTGCCCCTGATTCATCAGATCAAGACCGAACTGCAGACGGGATCCAACGAAATCATCGAGAGCAGTCAGAAAGAGCAGCATGTCGTTTTCAACGATGACTACTCTTCTAACCCTACCCATTCAATGCTCTCCAAGGATCATTTCTCCAACGTAAGTTTTATCCGAGTATCTATCGAGAAATCACTCATCGGTTGCTGATCCTTATGCAGATTCTCAACGAGATTGCTGGCCGAAGTGCCGCCAGAATGCTCCACTGGGTTGTGCCACAGCTTATGGAGGCCATTGATAGCGAGTCTGTCGATGTCAACCGCATGTTGAATCGCATTGTCAAAGGCGTCATGCACCACCCTGCTCAGCGTGAAATGGGTGAAGATGGTGTCCCCGAGGCGCGACAGCTTATCTTTGCGACCGTAGAAGAGTGGTGGCGCGACTTGCGCGAGGAACAGGAAGACTACCGCCGCAAGCTCTCCCCCCAAGGTGTCTTTAATGGCGAGAACCACAAGGAGGGCGTCAACGATACTGGTCACGGTTGTGGTAAATTGAAGATGCGCAAGGAATTCCAGCCCCAGGGTGGCATTGAGGATGAGATTGCCGGCGCTGCTGCAACAGCCATCTTCTCAGGCGCTACTGGCGCCCTGTCCGGCTTTGTATCTGAGAACACCGGTGTCGACTTTGGTTCCTCCCAGCATCAAGGATCGGGCGGAGACGATGGTATCGGTGGTCTCATCAGCGGCTTGGCTGGTAATCTCCTAGGTGGTGCCTTTGAACAGGGGTCGACCAACAGAGAAACCAGTCGTGAATACGGAGAGGACGGCTCCTACACGCAGCGTCAGACGGAGTATGGCCAGCAGGGAGATCGATACGGCCAGGCCCAGTACACTCAGACCTATCGCCCCGACGGTGGACGCGAAACTGAGTACCAACGCTACGAGCAGCAGGATTCTTCTTACGGAAACCGAGGCTACGGAAACTCTGGCTATGAGGAGAGGAGAGAGACTCATGAGAGCTCTTATGAGACTCATGAACGCCGCACCGAACGCTACGAATACACTCAGTCTACAGAGGAAAGCTACGGCTATAGTGAGCGTAGAAGCGAGAGCAGGGGTTCTAACAGATCTCGCGATCGCCACCACCATAGCCATCACAGGAGCCGCGATGAATCCGATTCCTACGAGAGGCGTGAGGATAATTATGAATCCGGTTATGGTCGCCAGCAAGATAACTACGAGCGTCAGGAAGAGCGCTATGGTGACGACTACCGCGAGAGCAGACATCATCGCCGCAACGATGACGATGAAGAGAATGATGATGAGTTCAAAGCCCGCGATCACGGCGGCAGCAGCGGCGGCTACAGATTCTAGATGGCATTAGTTTTCGCTCCTCTGTGTCAGACAGTGTGGAGAAGAAAGAGGTAACTTGTAGTGTATTAGAAGATGAAAAGCAGAATATGCTAGCAGACGGCATAGATAGAAAAATATACCCATTTTGAGAGAAACAATAATGCAATTCGATGAAGACGTGAGCTTGTTTTGAATACGACCACTAGTAGTATAGACTCTGGCCGTTACCCTGGACAGAAGCTGGTCTGGGCTAGAGTAAAGGGCGTCTATACGAGATGCTAGCGACGATCAAGCCCGGTTCTATAAATAAAATGCAGCTTGCTTCCAACTCAATCCTCTCTGAAAGGATTCACACCAAAGACAGCGAGAATTGAGTTGGTAATTAACATTACACAGCAGCAGTGGAGCAAGACATATCGTTAGATCTGCAGAAAGTGGACTGATTATGACCGTGGGATTATGGGTCTCTCTTGACAAGCAGCCCCCTTGAAAAAAATAAAAACCCTTTACGCAGCGGCTATCTTCTGTAGATAAGGCCAGCCATGGCAATCCAAGTGAAGATCATGGAGAGCTTTGTAGCGAATAACACGAAAGATTGGCCTTGTGTGCCAGGGGTGGCCTGCTCCACATGTGCTCTTTGGCAGGGCGATACGTCAATTTGCAAGAATCCCGGTGGCTTGCATTAGAGTGTAGAGGAAGAGGATGGCTTGAGACAGAAGCTGGATGGGAAAAATCAGCCTAGATGAAAATAGATATTCTAGCAAAGCTCAGCTGTTTTTGTATGACTTAATTTTCTCTCCTTGCATGCATGTACTGTGCATGCAGGATCTCCCAAAAGTACCGGTACTACTGTAAATCTCCCTTTCCTTTAGTGCCGTCGGAAGAATCCACCGCCGATTTCGAAGCCCGCGCCTCTTGGATTAGTTCTCCCGCTCATGGAAGAATCTCATTGGAGGCCAGCTATAGACAGTCTCTGTTTCGAGGACACCCTCAGCGGGCACGTTACGGTTTTTTGTGGTACTTTTTGGTGCGAGAGTCGTTTCTACCTCTCACTCTGTGGCGGATGAAGCTGAGGACTTTGGTGAAATGCGGGGAATGTGTTTTAGTTGTCAGGTGGCAGCCCAGTGTAGAAGCATGCGAGGACGACGTGCTGAGGATACAGCAAGAGTGACGACATTATCAAAGCACTTGGTACTTTTACGAGTTGACTACCAGCCTTTTCTATGTGTCCTGCAGGTGTGATATAGTCTCCCATTTGCCCTCGTCTTTTCCTCCCCTGCTTCTGCTCTTAGAGAGGTTACCACGGACTTGGTTGTGAGGGCATTTGAGTTGAAGCCACACCCACGGCTGGCTGAGCACATCCCTGCCAATGGGCGACAGCTCGTGCTACACAAAATAGTGGTCGGGAAGGAAAGACAAGCTTTTCTGTCGCCATCCGATTCGCCGATGTCTGACACGTCGGGACCGAGAGCGAGTCGCGGCACTTCTCTGGTTATGCAGGGCGGCAGAGATGGATGCGAGCTGTTGATGCTAGCAAATGATACCCAGGTAGGTGAGTATCACTAGTGCAGTTTGAATGTAGGACGGCGTAGTATCAATAGGTGTAGGTAGCTGAATAGAGGGACCGAAGAAGCCGGGGGAGATAAGATGGAGCTGGGCGCCCTCGAGAGAAACACGCCTGGACTATGAGACCGACAATTTGGACTGATTGATGGATTTGGTTTTAGCATAGCAAATATAAGGACAGTAAAGTAAAACCCGCCTGTCGGATGATACCCGCATCATTTCCTTGTGGTCTGGGTTTTGAAACAACCAGACGAGATATTTCCGTGGACAAAGGGCCTTCAAGATGCGTGCAACAAGCAGGCTCTGCTGCCTGGCTGCCCCTCCCTCCTGTTTCCCCGGGCCATCGTCCACCGCAGCCTCGATCGTTCCAGAGGGCCGACAGAAGACAAGGATGCGCCATCCCAGGATTAGCGCCAGGGCCCAAATGGCAGAAAAGCTGCCCAGGTGCTCTGGGGCTACTAGTAATTCCAAGATACTACTGCTACTGTAGAGGCTAACTAACCCCATCTCACGGACCCATTGGGCGCGAGTGTTTCGAGTTAGCTCTTTGGGCTCTTTTAGCAGCTGTTTCTTGTTTTTCCTCTTTTCGGGGGCCGTCGCTCTGCTAAAGCTTGATGGGCGAGGTGAGAGCGGATACTGCTGCTTGCTTGTACCACACATCGGGATTCGGGAAAGCCGACCGAGCCGCGAGGGCTTGCCTTGATACTGTGCACGTCTAGTGCTGGCAGCAGGTAGGAGTGTCGCAGCATGCATGTGAGAGATGGCATGATGTTTACATGTGCGTGATGGTGATCAGACGGAAAGGGTCTGTGTTTGGTGTAACCACGGCTTGATGTAAGTGATGCGATGTTGTCGATGGCTGATGGAGTTGAGTGTTGCCAAGCTTTATGCACGCGGCAGATTAAACTAGCAGTGCCGTTGACCTCTTAATAAGCCAGATGTTGAGATACTACAGGCTGTGAAGGCGGCTGCCAAGATGGACGTTCCTCTGCAACCTCTGATCGACCACTTGTGCATGCAGGCGCGATGCTCTTGATGCTTGGCACAGAGTCTCATTGCCAATACTGATGCAGTACTTGTAAGGCTTGTGATGAGCAATTTAATGGCGGTAACACGAAAAGTTATTCCACTTAGCTTCTCTCATCTCGAGGTGCATGAAATACAAATACCTGAGTATGAGATACCTACATGTACCTAGGTATGTATCTACTTACCCACCAAGCACGCATGGCGTTTCCCGTCCATGCTTTGTGCTCGCACATGGCTCTGTTTGTATCCCATTTTCTCGCCATTTGGTGCTTTTCATGCTGTCAAACCAGACAATATTGGTGACCCAAGTTTGGCTCCTGGTTAACCTTTAGTATGAGATTCGACAATGGCTCCAGATAACCTTGACTTTGTGAAAACGCATACCTACATCTCGTCACATCATGGCTGATGGCCATACCCAAGGCAATACCATAGGCACGTTACCATATCCAGCCGCTGACTCTTCCACGTCTACCTGCATTGGACCCTTTTGTAATACTTGGAGTATGCATTCTCTACCTGCATGCTAACGTATATTGATGTCTCAGATACATATGCCATAGCACAAGCTCAGCCTTGTTCAGGCGGCACAAGACGGTCTTATCATGGCTTCCGACTCGCTCACTCTCCCTGTCTCTCGGACGCGGCAGACGGGAACAATTTCCTGTTGATGCCCGTTCCCGCTTGCCCTCTTGTAGATACGCTCTGTCAAGGGTAGCCGTGGCCTCGCCTAACTGGTTTCTCTCCTGGGGCACGCGAGCCCAGAGCCACACATAGAGAAGAGATGGAGGAGGTTGACAGGAAGCATGTGTCAGAGAGTTGATTTCCAAACAATTCGCCTAGGATCTTGTCCATGGATTGCGAGACTACCTACATGTACCAGCTCAAGCACTCCATATTACCGTCTGTCTTATTGGTTGTACCTGTACGACGCCGGGCCATCTCTCGTGTGCAAACATGCACCAGTTGGCATTAATAAGAGACCAGACGTGCCGCTGCCGCTGCTCCACGCCTCTCGCTGGCTTCCGGTTTACCGTCCAGCCGCCCCGCCTTGGCCTCCACCAGACCAGCGCTTGTGTATCTCGTCTCAATCCCTCAGAGCCCGTGCTCGTCCTTTGCTTGCCATCATCGGAGCGGTACAAACAAGCTTCAACTTGATATCTTTAATCTGCGCTGCTGCTGCGACATACGAACGACGGTACGTGTATCCAGTGGCTGGCGGTGGCTTGTCGCTGCTCATCAAACGCCAATCTCGGGCTACGGAGTTCATCTTGCTGGCGCCCATCGTACTCCGGCCGGCAGCACTACATGCACTAACAAGCCGCCTGCAGCGCGCTGTAAGGGCGTCCACCGGGCCTAGCCCGCTGCCACCACCACGTACAGGTACCGCTACCTGCGCCGCTTATCCCTGGCCTACTTTTTAGCACCGGACTGCTGTGCCGTACTTCCAGCACCTCTTTTTTTTCTCTCTTGTCCCCCTACGCCGTCTCGTTTTATGGTGCTCGCCTCCCGCCTCTCTTCCGCTGGACCAGACCAAACCATCAACCTCCAACTTCGGTCCCGTCCCAGCGTTTCCACGTCGCCTCGCCTCGCCTCGCCCGCGCTCGCCGTCGCACCGCCGGGTTCCTTCTATATCATGACCTCAGCGATGTCTATGTGTTAGAAGAATGTGTGAGTCTCTGCTCGCCTCCCGTCCCGAGCCGCTGCTGAACCCCGTCCTGCAGCGGCCAAGCCTGCCCCTACGTGACCCCAGTCTTGGCGGCCGGCAACTGACGTCTCACAGCGCTCTCCGAGATTCGAAATGTCGTGTATGTTGCTCCAGGAAGACGATGCTCGCCTTTTGTTTGTTCCCGCCGCTGCCGTTGCCCTCTGCGAGTCTGCGTCAATGTCGCTGCTTGCTTGCCGTTGTCGCCATGCCATTGGCGCCTCATCGCCGCCGAGGGTTCCCTCCACCGGTGACCACGGAGCGCTGCTTCGACGCTGCTTCGACGCTGCTCCGACGCCGCTCGCATGATCACGATTGCCCTCTCCCTCTGCGATCGCTAGCACTTTTACCTCTATTTCTGCTGTCGCATTTGCGTCTGTGTCTGCGGCAAAGTACTGACGGCTTGACAGGCTTCTCTTCAGTAACCCGGTCTGGGGTGGTGCTACCACCGTGCCCACCACCATTATCAGAAACATCACAGCGCTCTCCGTGCGTCCATCTACCTTTCGTTTGTCTTCATAACCGCCCCTACGAAGTGCCGCTGACATTGCCCATCTCAACAGAGTCAGATAGCATACGAGGAGCGCATCGATAGCAACATCACCACGTTAACGACGACCAACGCCGACACCCTCAATGGGGTCATACAAGGCCTATTATACGTTCCCGAAATAACCCGCATGCCATCCTGCGACGCCCAGCAGTACGACTTTATCCCAAGAAATGTTACTCGCCGCTCCAACCTCCCTCCCACAAACTACAATCTCATTGCTCTTGCTCCCTGGTTCAGTATAGACTGCACTGTAGCCTACCTCGCATCCGCCCGCTCCGATCCCATCCGTGCCTTTATTTTTTACAAGCCAAACAATTCGTCAAACAAACCCCAGGACGTCGACTCCCCCGTCTGGAACCTCGACGACGATGGCGCGTGGAGGAAGCAAAACCAGTATCCCGTCTTTGCCGTCTCGGGTCTCGAGGGTCAGAAAATGATGACTCAACTCAGCTACTACTCGGGGACTGTTGACCAGATACCCCATGGCCAGGAGATTGCGCAACTCTACGGACCTAATCCGAAAGACTATGTTCGAATATGGACCGAGCTAACCATGAAGAATCCCGCCAATATTCCCGCTTTGTGGATATTTTTCCTCATAGTCATCAGTGCTTTGCTGGCCATCATCGGTGGAATTTCGCTCACTATGCATCTGATACAGAGGCGACGCCGCCACTCGCTGAGACGTCGCGTAGAATCTGGCGAGGTTGATCTGGAAGCCATGGGTATAAAGCGGTTGACCGTACCGTACACACACGTCAAGTCGTTCCCTCTATTCACCTACAACCAAGACCCGGATTCGCTCAACAGCCCGCCAACTCCCTCGTCTCCCGGCCCGCGTGGGAAAACGAGGAGAAGTCGCAGACATGACCGAGTCGCCCCCAGTGATATTATATCTCCCAGTGAGCAGAGCGTTCGCAGCACACGGAGCGTGCGAAGCAAGAGGTCGAGTATAACAGGGTCCGATACTACTGCCACCAACTTCCAGCCTAACTGTCATATATGTCTTGATCGGTTTGAACATCGTGTTACTATCATCAAAGAACTCCCTTGCGGCCACATATTTCATCCCGACTGCATAGAAGAATATCTTCTCGAAAACAGCTCATTATGCCCGATGTGCAAATACTGCCTGCTTCCTCGCGGATACTGCCCTCCCATTACCAACGGAATGGTCCGCCGCGAACGTGCACTGCGGAAACTGCGAGGGAGAGTTGATTTGGACGACTCCTCTCTGGAATCTGGCGAGAACAAAATCAAGGGCTGGACAAGGAAAATACTCCACTTACAGCACCATGCAGCTCCGCCCGATGTTCCTCTGACGCCAATCAAAGGCAATAAGCCAGATAAAGATCCTTCTGGGAAGAAAACATCCACGTCTACAGAGCAGCCTGTTGCGGAAACTGAAGCTGCTAGAGAAATACCATTGACGCCGTCTGGAACGACAATTATGGAAATCTCCGAATCTGAAGAGGATGCAGTCGGAGAGACAACAGCCACTGTAACGCAGAATCCGGCGGCGGCAACTCGGACAAAGACCCGCAAGCCTCAGCCTCGCGCTTTGAGATTATTACCCACGGCTCCAGAGGGTGTTGAGCTGGTAGTGACACAGCGTGCCGGAGGACATAGCCCTTCGTCGTTTGCACGAGAGCGTATGCGGGAGATTGCAAGCCAGAATGCGCCATTTGAGGACCCGGACTTGAGGCGCCCTAAATGTGAGTGATACGCTTTGCCCTACCTCATCTTTCGCAGATTTACTAACAATGATACTCAAGGGCGGCGCGTCATCTCGAGTGTCTTTCCTGGATTCACATAAGCGTGCACCTTCATCTATCTCTAACTTTATGAGCTATGTTCTCACCGCTTCCTCAAGCAATAGCATGGCGTCGGCGTTTTATTCCCTACAGGATTCTCTTCTTTTCTTTACATTTTCTTTGGCATCACCGTGAGGAGACTTTTATTTGAAATTAGCGGAGTCAAGGCAGGTGGAGTTAAAATACTGGAAACGGTCACGTCGTTTTATCCCTCTTACATTTGACATAAGACCACCACTTCTCCCAACGTCTCTCGCCGCCATCGAGCGGCAATACAGGGGGACCGTTTACAACAACGCTACGGCGAAGCTTATACCAAATTACGATGCAATGCACACCCTTCATCTAGATTCTTCGGTATGAAGAAATACCACGATATAGAGGCTCAAATTACTTCTGGTACATTATAATACTGGGGGGCTTAAGGGAGGGACAACTAGGCGTTTGGAGAGGGCGTTTTTTCTCAAAGGATTCGGCTGGCTCATTCGATGTGTGGTCCGATGTCGACTACTGGGATCTGGGAAAAAGTGATTTTTTTTTATTAGGACGGGATCTCAAAGGGCTATATGGGATATATGCATCCATAGGAGGCTGAGGCGGCGGCTGTCTTTTTTTTTTTAACATGCACTTTTTGCATATTGCTTGATTGTCTTCTTGTCTACTTGTCTACTTGTAATAGAGTGAAAAGTGACGTTTACTTAAGTACTGAATGGCTGCATGCTGTCAAACCGCAATGTGTTGCTTTTATATCTGGTTTAGCTGGCTTATTTGAGGGTAAAGCAGGCACTAGTTGAGTCTGCAACTTGAGTTTAAGAGATGTTAGATCAGAAAGGTATAATAAATATCCCATAATAGTCAATTCCCGCGTCCGTAGTCCTAAATAAATATGATTCTAATTATACATGAGTTTCAGATTTGCTGCCGTAAGGACGCCTCTCCTGTGTCTGTCACGAACCACATGAAGTATTAATTTTTTTTTTTTTTGGGTATATATGTTTTCCGCATCGCGTGATGACATCCAGATACGTTGTGCATTCGTATACTCCGCTTCCTGGTATGAAAGAAATGGATATCATAATTGTAAATACCTTTCTCTAAAAAGATACAGAGAGATGAAGAGGGGAGCAGACAAAAGTGTGCGAACAACAGTCTTAGTTTTTGACGCTCAACAATTGCGTAGCGAGATAGAGGGGGAAACGGAATACGCCATCTCCTCTTATTCCCCTTCAGTCCGTAGACTCATCCTTGGTTTCATCCTCTTTGCTTTCGCCCTCATCTTTCTGTTCTGCAGAGTCTGGCTCCTTCTCAGATGACTTTGTCATCTGTGTATCCCCGTCGCCGCTCGGGTCCTCCTTAACCTTCTTCGCCACAACATCGTCCTCCAAATCATCTTCCGCCTCGCGCTTGGAGCTTACGCTCTCGGCGCTGGGGCTCTTTGCCCGCTCGGAAGAAGCAGCAGGCTCATCCGTTGTGCCTTTCTCTTCCCCTGTCGCAGAGGATTCACTTTTGTCATCCGCATGTTTGCGGCCCACCGCAGCCTCGAGATCGATGCCCTCCATCTCGACACCGTCCTCTCCCATGAGACTAGTAGTCTCAGACTGAAGGCCAGTGTCGCCAACTCCTATTTCATCCGGGCCTCTCGCGTGGGGTGCCTCTTCGTCATCGTCGCCCATGGGTTGGTCTTCTGAAGCTTCGGATTGCTCACCCTCACCCATCATGTCAGTGGATTTGGTGAGCTGAGTGACGGGAACGATACCGGCTCTCTGCTCCTGCCTAAGCAGCTCGCCCTGTGTGACGCCCCTGGTAGCCCCCATGGATGGCACGCCGTTGATGCTCACAGAAACAGTCTCGATGCTGCCCACCCCATTAGGGCCTTCAATAGTCTCGGTGCTTTCGCTGTGAATCTGCGCACTAACCGGCGCCTCGACTACGGTCTCCGGAGGCGGCGTGCCCCTCGTCAGCCACGGAATCGGAGTCAGCAGTGCTCCTCCTAGCGCTTCATCAGATCCAACCGCCACGGACGTAGGGTTGCTCCAAGAGACGGCCATGGCCGGGTCGTTGGGCTCATCGCCGTTGAGCTGGATCGCCGACATGTCGGGAATCGGCGGCGGCAGCGGATAGGTATTCGTGCCCGACGTCACGGCCGACACTCTGTCCAGGGCATGCAGATACGACGCCAAGGCCTTGTAGTGCGCGCGCGGATACAGAATCAGCTCTGCGATTCTCTGGATTGTGTGCGGCGGATATGACTTGAAGCTCCCGATGTGGCTCTTGATCTCGCCGACCATGTCTGCCAGCTGCTTCGGCAGGACGTCATCGGACTGCTCCTGGCTTCGCGACGGGGATTGTGGTGAGGACGGTGCTGGTGCTGGCGGTGGTGGCGGCGGCTGAGACGCAGCGACGGGTTCTGTTTCGTCCGTGGACGGCGGTTGCTCGCCTGCAGGCGCACTCTCATTCTCCTTGTTGGCATCTTCAAAGGACCGCTCAGCAGGCGATGACGATAGCGGGGAGAGGACTCTTGTGTCTAGGAGCCGGGGGTGCGGCAGAGGAGGAGGAAGCTTGGGTATGGGAAACTCGTCGCGTGCGATCTGATGGATTTCATGATTGTCGAGTTAGTGATTTCTGCTTCAATCGAACAATGTCGCACGATCCCGCAGGCCACTGATTGGGAAACGCACTTTATCTAACCGTGAGAGGATCTCGTCGCGCAAGGCCGGCCACGCTTCTCTGCAATAAGCCAAAAGGCACGGTTAGCAAAATGGCACGATCAGAGCTGCTGCCACTCAGGCCGCTATTCTGCTGGATGGGATAAGGACGATGCGCCACGTACGACTCGACGAGCTCTCCGGCAGCAGTCTTGCTGAGCAAGTCATTCTCGCTGTCCACCTCCATGGGCAAAAAAAAAAAAAAAAAGAGATTTGCGGGTGGGCACGCGACGCCTTTTTTTGTGCCTTGGGCGTGTGTTTTTTCCTTGGTTGGTGATGATGCTTTTCGAAGACGGCGCGGCTGCTACACTGGATACAGGCAGTTTCTAGGCCCTAGAGGAGGTACCTACCGTCTGGAGCCTTTTGTAAGGTACCGAGCCAGGATTTAGTGCTGGTGGGGTAGCAGAGCAGATGCATGATCCTTGCTAGCCTGTGACTTCATCGCGGTATGATGGTCGTCCACATGTAAATTGGGCGAAAAGGGCCACATGTGAAGACTTACATGCCTTGATTCTACAACGATGAGGTAATATAGAAAACCTTTTTTTTTGTCGATCCTTACTGTCCATCGAACCTATGGTAATTACAACGGGATGGCATGTTGGTACTAAAGTAGATGCACAACTATGGCTATATGATCCAGTGAGAATTGTGCTATATCGAAACGATGCGCTCTTGCGTCCATATAGTTAGTACTAGGTAGTCCGTCATGATAAATCGATATCATGGCTACGAATATTGTTCATGATCTCCAAGATGCATCACCCCTTAGTTACAGACTCAGATAGATCAAGTAGTTTTCTTTTGGAATACGTCTCAGACATCAGTGTTATTCATCACTAGTCTCTTCCTCAGAGCCAACATCACTAACAACAGCCTCATCTTGCGCCGTCACATCTTCAAAAACAACCACTTCTTCTTCCTCTTGTAGCGTCTCTTCTCCATCTTGAAACGCCAACTCTTCATCCCATATCACCAACTCCTCCTCTCCTTTGGCACCATCGAAAGACAAGTGAATAGCCTCCACATTCGACTCTGTGCTCTCCTCTGGTTCATCACCAGGCTGCGGCGCAAGATCCAGCTCGCTCGCTCCATCTTCTGACTTTTCCGGATCACGGTATTTCTCAATAAGCGCATTCGTCCTGTGCCCCAGAACCTCAATCTTCTTCAAATTCCTCTCCACCACTTCTTTTCTCGACTGCGCATCCTCCCAGATGAGAATTGGACCTCTGGTAACATCCATGAAACCGTCGGACAAGACTCCCAGTTGTTTGATATTCGCCAGCGCCTTGTTGAAAACCTCCACCGTGTCCGCCATAATCGTACGCGCCTCGTCGACGTCCTCTCTGGTATCATCAATAACGAGATTGTTATCCTTAATCAGCGATTCCACCAAATCCTTCTCCCTGTCCACAGCGGCAATCAAGTCGATAGCTTCCCCTTGATAAGTCCATATCTCAAGAAGCGCAAACACGCGATGAATATGCTCCCACACGTACTTCCTATATTCACTCCAATCGGGCTCCGTCGTCACATCAATAAGATCAGAAGAATCCTCCACCGCTCCGAGGAACATCAAATGCCGCGTAGACTCCCTTCGAACCGACTGGTATATGAATATATTCCCGGGATAGACGTTGCACCTCACGCCGTGTTGGTACATCAACTTGACGAACCCATAAAGCTGATGCTTAAACCCCAATATCTTCTTATACGAGAACCGCGACCGACGAGCCTCACACTCAAAGCTCACCAATTCGCAGCGAGTATATCGAATCGTGTAAGATCGCAACTTGGAATTCGACGACACAATCTGCGATACGTGGTCCCTCAGCTCAGGGATGCGATCGAGGATCCTGAGGATCTTGACGCGAGCGCTAAAGGACTGGCCGCTTTCTAGAGCAGAGATGACCTCTAGACGCCAGCGGGGAGGAGAAGGAGAGCGATGCAGTTCCTTGGCGAGTCTTTCTCTGGCGCGGGATTTGATGCTTTTGCGAGGCCTGCTCTTTGGGTTCCGTAGCTCTTGTACGCGACGCGGCACGGGGGGTTGAAGGTGGGAAATATCATCGGGTTCGAGTAACTTGGCTTCTTGGCGGCCTGTCTCACAGGTTTCTGTCGCTTCTCCCTCCATGGCTGAACTGGGAATTGGGAAATGGATATCCTCAAGATCGATTCTGGAAATATCATGTGCTGTGTTGGACTTTGGCGGCCGAGATCGTATGCGCGTATTGCGGTTTTGTGCTTCAATCTGTTTGTCAGTTGGAGATCAGAAGGCAGCACGTAAACCGGACGAATAACTGCGTGGAACACGTATCAACAATAAGGCGGGGTGCTGAAACATTGTTGAATGCTAAGGTACAATACTAGACATTAAACAAGGGGTAATTGGTATGGTTAGCATTCTGAGGAGAGTCAGTCACCATGCTGCTCACTATCCTTTCATCCCTCGAAGTAAATGTGATTCATCAGGGCAAATCAGGCGCTGACCATCATTGTTAATCTAACCATCTACTCGTTCCAGCACTCGCATTGTCACTCTAGACTCATTAAAAGGCAGTCGCCTAGCACAAAGCAATTGACCGCTGTTCTCCATTGGAAAAAACCATCCCATCTCAGGCGCAGTCACACCCATCTCACTCTCATCTCACCATTCCACAATTTCACAATTCCACAATTCTTTTGTCAGAGATCAAACCTCGCCTCCCGGTACAGCCACTTTGACGGATCAAACACAACCTCAAAGTTGGTCGCATCAAACGCTCCAATCGCACAGCTCAAGTCGTGGAAGCCCTCTAGCCCCGTAACCGGCAAATCCTGCTGGGCGTCCGTCTCCTCGTGCAGATCCCATCCACCAGTCCGCTCGCCGTTCTTTGTGAAGAAGATGTCGACACGAGGCCTGTGAGAGCCCGTCGGCGTAAATGTCATGCCAATGCCGTACGTATCGCCCGCACGGTACTCTGATGTGAAGTCCTTGCCGCCCCAGCGGTCGTTGATGTACTTGTGGCCATCGTCTCCGTGAACAGCCAGACTGCCGCGGTGCCATCCGGGAAGACGGAAGGATGGATAGGGGAGCGCAGTGAAGCCCAGGGCCAGGTTGATGGTGGGGCTGTTGCGGCGAATAGTCACCTCGTAGTAGATGGTCTTTGGCTGTTTGGTGACCGTAGGGTCGTGCTCGTTGACCACGTAGAGGGGAGGGTAGCCGATGATGCAGCGGTCGGGGCTGTTCTTGTTGGTGTGACCCTCCCAGTGGCCTGGCGCCAGGAACTTCAAGGAGCCGTTGAAGCCTGCCGGTTCCAGGAGCCGGAAGTTGTTGGACTGCAGCGCATTCTTGCCCGGCTGGTCGAGCACAATCGGCTCGACTACGGGATAGTCTTGGCACCACTTCTCGCCAGCCTCTGCCTCCTCCTCAGTCGCATTGTTGGCGGGCGACGCATCGTAGCCACTGAATATCATGGGAGGCGGGGGGAAGAGCGAAGTGTCTGGCACAGCGGCCTGCCAGTCGTGGCCCTGGAAAGACTGAGAGCCATAGGGGTCCGATGGAGGAGCAATCCAATCGTCCTTTTTAGATGGCGGCGGTCCTGGCGGCGGCGCAAAGTCGCCCTGCTGATGAGAAGGAGGCGGCCCTGGAGGAGGAGCAAAATCATCCTGCTGCTGCCGTCCTGGAGGTGGCCCTGGAGGAGGAGCGAAGTCGTCCTGCTGCTGTCGTCCTGGAGGTGGCCCCGGGGGAGGTGCAAAGTCGTCTTCTTGCCGCCTGCCAGGAGGCGGTCCAGGAGGCGGCGCAAAGTCCTCGTGCGGCCTATTCTGCTGGGGATGCTGCTGGCTGTGATATCCCGGCGGCGGTGAAGAGTACTGGTTTGTCGTCACACTTGTTCTCCCGCCGTCATAGTTCTGCGCTGGCCTCGCAGGAGGGTCGTCGTCTCTCTCATTCTGACTGCCAAAGCACATGTTGGCGGTCTGTGCGTATATCTGCTGCAGTCGTCTCGGAAATTATATCAGACGGATAGATGAATTGGTACTGCGAGGATTCTGACTCGGCCAATTAATAATTCAATGAATAGAATTGATGTGAAATAACAAAGAAAGCAGAACGAGAAGAGCGTGAAATAAGGTAGAAGAGGACAGAGGGCTAAAGAAGCACCAGACGGCTAAAAGCGAGGGCAAGCTACATGTACTAGGGAGGAAGTACCTGGGCCCAATCCATGTAGGCGGCCGTCTGATGTCTCTTCCATGTGGCTGTGCTGCGTTGGAATTATCGCTACTACACTTTACCCAGACGGTCTTTTTTACTGGAGCAACTCCGGGGAGCTCTAACCTTATTTCAATGTTGGTTGGCCATTAGTTTTGGAATCTTTTCTGCTGGACGTCTTGCACAGCACAGCCTTGCTGCCAAAGGTCATCATTTTGCTGCGTATTACGTTGCGTAAGATACGCATATTAATATATCACTCAATGAAATCCCACGTCTAATCATGTGAAGCAATTCATATTCCAAATGTTTCAGCGTGTACAGTAGACAGCTGCATTAAACTAATACTAGTCGATATGCTTGTTTACCAAGCTCACATTATTCATTCCCTAGGCCACTCTCGCAACCATCTCACCAATGGTTTTCCGTTCATTATACGTTTCAACATAAAAGCACCCAGTACTTGTTCAGAGAGAGCCTCCTGGGCATGTAACAGGACTGACTAGCCGGCGTTTATAGTCGACTTAGTTACCCCACGCGCTGGCGTCTGCGCCAGACGGGTAAAAGTAGGCCACAACAGCAATGATGCAGTAGACTGCACACAGCAGAGCGCCTTCAAGGTAGTTACTACGGCCATCCAAAACAAGAAAGTTGACCATAAACGTTGACACAAAGAGACAAACCGTCTCAAACAGGGTGAAGTACAACGTCATCGGCTTGTCCATAATCCAGCCGAGGATAACAACCAGGGGAGTGACAAAAATAGCAATCTGGATGGAGCTGCCAATAGCAACACCGATAGCTAGATCCATCTTGTTCTTCATTGCGACGGTGACGGATGTGACGTGCTCAGCTGCGTTACCGACAATGGGTAGGACAATAAGACCGATAAAGACTTCGCCGACACTTGATGTAGCAACGACGTCTTCGATAGAACCAATGAGAAACTCAGCACACGCCGCGACAAGGCCAGTGGTGACAAGCAAAAGGATAATTGCAGCCGCTTGGGTAAGGTGCTCCTCCTCCTCATCCTCCTCTTTGAATCCGCTCAGTGAGCGACTCACAGCGGTCAATGGCACCTGAGCCGGCAGCATAGCACCAGGAGGTCGAAGCTGGTGGTTCAACCTGTCGGGAAGAGAATTTGTTCGTCGAACGCCGTAGCGAACACGAGGCACCGGACCAGCGGGAACAGCAGAGATAGGATCCAACCCGGGCTTCTGTACGAAGACGGTGGGCGCCAGATTCTTCACAGACACAGAGCGCAGAGCAGGGAACGCCGGTCGCTTGGATCCAGTGCCAGCTTCGTTGCCACTATTCGTGGCTTCCGCATCGTTGGGAATTGCAAAGTCGACACGGCGAGGTTCTCCATTTCCATGTGAGTTCTGGTCAGGTTGTTCGGTAATCGTCTGTTGGGCATCTCCCTCTGCGTCACGCTGATGGTGACGACGCTGCTTCTTGCTCTTTTTGCGCAGGTGTCGAAGGCTGGGTCTTCTATGCTTGCGATGAGATCTCTCGTCATCTTCGATAGCTTCCTCATTGGTCTCAGTTGAAGAGAGCCTAGGGAACTGAGGGCGCGAAGAGGTTTCCGAAGACTCTTCCTGCGGGCTGGTGGCATTGGTTCCAAAAGACGAAGTCCTGGTGGGAAGCTCGCTAGTCTCCACGGAGGCAACAGACGACTTTCTTCTGCGTCCATGGCGGAGAACCTTTCTCATCGCACGGCGAACAGTGTCCCGGGAGTGGCTGGAGTCATCGGAATCAGAGGAGGAATCAGAGCTAGACTCCGAGCTTGAAGCGTCCAGCCATGCAGCGGCAGGACCTGGAACTGACTCGGCATCGACAATGTTCTGAGGAGTCGATTCGTAGAGATATGCGTGGGATTTAAGCTGGAAAAGAAGATAAATGCCATAGACCAGCAAAAGAATCTGCCATATTTGGTTAGAAGTCGGTTAATGCATTGGATAATGGGCATATCAACTTACAACACTGGTACCGCGGCTGATCTTGAGTGACTGACGGTCAGCTAGGTCTGCATCGTTGAATGATGCGTGGAAAGCCGTCTAAAAAAATGTTAGCAACTGGTTTGAAAAAGGTGCATAGTTAGTGATATGGAACATACAGGCAAGACCAGACTGATGACACTCAAACTGAGAAGACAAGCACTCATCTGAGTAACGGTGCTGTTGTAGACTTGCTCTCGGAAGCGCAAACCACCGAGGAAAAAGCCCATTCCCAGAATGAGGAGCAGATTGGCAAGAATGGAGCCCAGCAGAGATGCTTGGACGATACGTATCTCATTCTTGACCAAGGCAATGATGAAGATGATCAGTTCCACGGCATTGCCAAACGTCACGTTGAGCAGGGCGCCAAGCGCGTCGCCCATTTTAATGGCCACCGACTCGGTCGCGAAAGCGAGCAGGCCAGCGAGGGGAACCACGGCAATACAGTTCATGGCGAAGACGATGCCGCTATTAATGCCGGGGATGTTGGCGAGAATGATGCCCAGGGGCACGAACACGAGCAGGACATTGAACCAGCTGTGGGTCAGGACGAGCCAGAAGGATCTACGAAACTCTTGGACAAAGGTGCGCTTCTTCTGATTCTGGCCGACTTGTTCATTCTCAATTCCGTCGTCGGAATTGGTGGTGGTTTCGGGGGCGAGGGTACTTTCGTGGGCCTCCTTAGTTCCTAAGAAAGACCCCTCATCCTGCGAGGCTGGCGCTGTCGAGCGCTTCTTTGGCTTGAGCGACGACTTTTGGAAGTCCTTTTCGGGGATCTTGTTGACGATGAAGGGAGCATTGTTGCTGAGGGGAGACACGGCGCCGGCATTGCGGTTCTCAGGCGTCTGGAGGGTGTTTGGGGATTTTTCGGCAGAGGTAGCTGCTGGAGCGTGCTCGTTCAAGGCAGACAAGTCACGGAGCTCGGTATCCAGCTGGTGGGAGAGTCCATTCGCTACGGGCTGAGCATCAGAGCGTTTGGAAGCTATATCGGGGTCGGATGAGGCCTCCTTCATCGAACAGGTGTTGGAGAGCGGCGAGCACGAGGGTGGCAAAAGGTGTAAGGAAAGAGGCGATGCGCAATCCAAGCAAGGGATTGTGTATATGCCAAGAATAGGCTGCGAAGAAGTTCAAAGACCCTTGGTAAAAGAGGGAAGAGAGAGGAAGAGAGCGAGAAAGTAGGGAATCGAAGCCAACAGCACAATGAGAGGCGGGAATCGGAATCCCTTTTAAGTCGTCGAGAAGCGGCTGTGACTGTGGCCGGTAGCGTGAGACGAGACAAACGGGGAATGTGGATGACGCTGGCGACCACACGCAGCAGGGGTGGGGACGGCGCCACGATAGATGGCCCTCCGTAGCCTGGCACCTTATCTGCGTTCAGTGCTTGTGCCTGGCCTGGCCACGCCCGCTGGGAGTCCAGTGCACTGACGCCACAATGCCGCTATCGAATCTGGTACGCTTGATATCAGCACCGGAATACCCAACAACAGCAGCCACAATTACATGCACGTCGATAACTTCCAATTGCTACTGATAGTACCAGTGAACAGCCAAAGGGAGTTAATAGAGCATCTACTACTAGCTCCCAGCATCTCGTAGCCCCAACTCCTATTGATTCCAGGGTTCACGTTCACTAGACTCCGTAACCTTCAAGCTTAGTGGAGAGGACGCAACCAAGGTCGGACTTGGAACAGCGCCCAATCACCAGCCTTCATTCTCCCCTAGGGCTACATCATCGCAGCGTAGCCAAGGTCCGCTGTTTATGCGCTAGCGACCAGCACCAGCAGGCATTCGCAGTGGGCGCAACAGCACATGGCGTCTTGGCGCTGTAATCACCGTGCAAGAACTGCGCCGTGGCCAACGCAGCGGCCAATATGGACGAAACAGCCGGCTTTGTCCACCGCCATTCTATTCGTTCGTTGGCACAATGTACTTCCAAGTTCTAATGCTGGTCTTCTAGCATCATCATCATTTGGTCTCTTGTGTTACGGCTTCAGAGCACAGTTACACATTGAACGCAGATATGAGAAGATTTCATATCAAACTCCAAAGATTAAATCGTCCCCCTTGAACAGCAGCCGATTCCCGAGACACATCGGCCGGGATGAGACAAACAAGGCCTGCAAACCACGCCGGATCATCTCCGTCTCTCACCCACAATCACACTCACACTCAAATGCAACTCCCGAAAGCGATAAGAACCTTCCAACGACACTTGCATTCCACAAATCAGCATACACAAGTTATCTGCCGTCCATGTCGCGTGCGCAGTTTGTCAATGCAGCTTCAGCCCAAGTCAGCGCCATCCCCACAACTGAAAGGCAACGGAACGGTCCAAGCTCATCAAGAAAACAGGAACCCCACGCCGCGTCTCCAAGGGTCGTCTCCCGCTTCCCCCTTCTTGTTCTTGACACTCCGCGTATATTATACGTGTACGAATGCACACAGTAAATTACCTAGTATACTTCAATTAACAAAGCATGCCTTTCATCCATTCATCAATTGCCAAATGCCGAATTTGAAATAAACCGTAGTCCGACGGCAAACATGCTTCTCAACGCGCAAATTGCCCATCTAAAACAAAGAAAGACAGACACTAGAATCAGTCCCGTCCCAAAGCAGGAAATCCCATGCGAGCCTCGTTCCCAAAACGAGAAAGCTTCGATTTGAGCTAAGCCTCCTCCGCCCCACCGTAGCTTCGCCACAATACACGCCATAGAAAACAAGGAGCATCAGCCACACTCGCCAACACTATGACGTTTTAGTGAGTGTCATTCGTGTCAAAACGCTGCCCGGACTTTTTCTCTTCGTACTTCGGATGTAGCCATGATTTTTGTAGTCTGTGCCAAATGTCCGTAGAATCGTGTGTTCCCAGAGTTTGTTTTTTCCCCGAGTGCAAGGCAACGTCAAGTGACGCAGTCTGTCCTCAAGCACCCGTCAGACAAAAACCTCCGTGAAACGAAGCCCAAAGCCAAGGAAGGAATGCGGCTCTCTCGCCGTCCATTCTTGGTACACAGACGCGGTGAAACAGAGACTCGGCATCAATTATCCGTCAAATGCAATTGCTACCTTTTCCATATAGGGAACCAGAAGAAAGCTGTCTGTAGATGATACTAGACATGCATTAGGTGGGGCACAGTTTCACCGGAGAATGAGCTCACGGTATCTCTACCCGGCACAATATCTCAGCCGTGAAAACTAATTAGAGAATAGAGTCATATCTAAAGGCCTGCTGATATCAAGCCATCACGATCATATTACAAGTAACTATCACTCAATACCGATCTCGAAGAGTTCATCTCGCGCGCAAAAATACTCCTCATTTATATTCTTCTTCCTCCCCTTTCAAACGATGAAAAAAAAGTAAAAACAAATCACACAAAGCTCTCTCTTTCTTCACCTCCACCTCCATTCCTTATATGCGCATCTTTGTCACCTCATAGACTCCGCTCAATTTGCCCTGCCAAAATGCTGCCCAGCACAAGAAAAACAAACAAGGAAAGACTAAACAAATACAAGTACACACCAATTCGGGTATACCGAACAATAATCCCAACATACTGTGTCAAACTTTCTACTAAGCTTGAAAAAAAAAAAATACAAAACAATAAATAAGCAAGTAAATAGTACCTCGGGCGTTCTGATATACCACATCACGAATATCCCACAACCAGATCTAGGTAGTCGAGGTCTTTTTGTTTGTGTGTAATTTTGTTCATAACAGCCTCCACACGAGCGCAATATACGATTTGCAAGATCATGCTAAACGAGAATACAGTACAAAAGAAAGGCGAGAAAATGAAAAAAGTAAGTAAAAAGAAATTTGCCAAACAAGGCATGCCAACTTCCCCAGCAGCAGGCCCCTGTAAAGATGGAGAGCTGCTATGTTGGCTGGCTTTCGTCAACGGTGAGGATTAAATAGGCCGAATGATATCTGCTTTGCGCGCTTTGATGATTACAACTTGATGTTGACAAAAATTTGGCGATGCCCTCCTGCTCAGAAAAGAAATATATAAGACAATAACAAAGCCACGAAACGCATCCAGTCGATCCAAGAAGCCGAGGCCCTCAGAACAGACGTAGCAGTAGAATTCTTCGATTTCCGATCTGAGTCGATGCTTAATCGTGATGAAACATCTGCTTCACGCCCGTCTCAAGCAAACCGTTATCGGTCATCTCCTCCTCTGGCCTTGCCTCGTCTCCGAAAAAAGTCCATGACACGCTTAGCAGCTCCACTGCTTCCCTCATGGCCTCGGTAATCTCCCTGGTCGTAGGCATCCACAAAGCGTTTGTGAGGTTTCTGTAACACTCCTCTGCTAGAATTGATTCCGCGTCCATCAAAGCCTTCAGACTGAGTGTATCCGTATTGATACGGGCCCTGCCTAGCTCCAGGAGGCGGACGCAGCTCTACTGAGGTGTCAGATGAGCTGTTGAGATGGGTACCTTGTTGCAAGTACGGAGGGATGGCATTGGGTCGCCTGGCAGCATCCGCCGGGGCCAGGTTGTTGTTTTGGTTCGGGTGAGAAACGGCCGTATCTAATGGCTGGCCGTCGTATGCATTGTCAAAGAAAGGCGTGCTGCCTCCGTGGGATGTGACGCTCCGTCCTGCAAGGTCAGCAGTGCGAGGGTTCTGGATAGGCAGGTCTTGCTGAGATTGATACTCAGAAGGAGGGCCGCTTCCATAGTCCTTGGGAGGGTTGAATGACTTGAGGGAGAAGGATGCGGGGAGAAGCGAAAATCGTCGGCGCTCTTTTTTGTCGACAATCGAGTCTTGAGAACCGTTGATACTGCCGCTCCTCTTCTTTCCAAGCCCAAGGGTAAAGGATCGGCGCGACGCTTTTGAGTCTATCGACCGCCGTGACTGGGGCTCCTCCGGTCCCGTTGCTGCCACCATTCCAGAATTGGCCATGCTGATAGGAGGGTACTTTTTGGAGGATTTTTCGGTTGCTTGTTCGGCCTTCTTCCCCTTGCGTCCAAACATGGACCCGCTACGGCCCAAGAGCTTCGAGCCAATGTCTCCTATCGTATTGGACCTCTTGTGTCCCTTTCCATCACTGCTCTTAGGCTCTTGAAAGCCTGACATCCTCGCAAATTTGGGGGGCACGTTGTTGGTAGTGGTCCTTTCCATGGCATCCTCCTCAGCGTTGGTAGGCTGTTGAATGCGGCCTTGTACATTGGTGTCGGCGATGGCAGGGGGGGCGGGCTGGCCATAATTGCCTCCAGACTGTAAGCCAAGAGAAGTAGCAGACTCCCGAGAATTGCCAGTGCGGGGCCGGCTGGTATTCGCCACAGGGACGCTGATGGAAAATGTGTTGTCCGAGGCCGCACGTACATCTCTTATCGGCCGTGTCGGTTGAAGCAATCCCGTCGTTTGCGCCGCTGTAGTCGGTCCTCTCTTTGACTGCGGCCGTGAGTGTGAGACATGCCTATCGTCCACGGACAAATCTTCTGACTCTTGATGATGTCGAGATGTTGGCCGAGACTGGTGGCCGGCAACCTCCGGCTCGAGCCCGCCACGCTGTGTCCGAGTGACGGGTGCGACGTACTCGACCTGGACGGTGCGGCGTTTGGCGTCTTTGGGAGTGCGCTGGGTACTTTCGGGAGGAGAATCGATCTTGCCGTGCGCCTTGACCAGGCCACCAACAGCAGTCGGCTGGGGAGTCTTTTGCTTCGGTGCTTCGCGGACAGAAGCGCTTCTCGTGACCATGGGAGCCTCAGCATAGTCAGAGCCTGTGGCGCTGACGCTCTGGACCTCAGATGGAGAAGTGGTTGAGCTGGTGATGAACTCGACAACGTGAGCGTACTCGCTCAGCCAACTATGGCGCGCCACCTCAAACAAATCGGCTCGCTTTCTCGGGTTGGGCACCAGAATTCGCCGTAATAGATCTCGTGCATGTGGTGTCACGTATTCGGGGAACGTCAGTGGTGTCGTAACGATGTACTTGTAGAGAAGGTTGATGTTATCGCCTTCGGGGTTGGCAGGGTCGTCGTCGAAAGGGAGATAGCCAGCAAGCATGGCATACTATTTGTCATTGTCCAGCGTCGTTAGCTATTTGTTTGAAGAAAAAAGAAGAAGAAAGCTAGTCTGTACTCACCAAGATGACACCACAGCTCCACACATCGACTTTCCTTCCGGTATACAGCGAATCGCTCACGACAAGCTCTGGTGCAGCATAGCAGGGGCTTCCACAGCTGGTCTGCATCAAATCACCCTTGCGCATGCCATTAGACTTGATCTTGTCAAGACCCAGCCGCTTGACAAATTCGCGATCCGATAGATTCAGCTCTTCCTCCTCGGTCAGCTCATCGTGAGAGTCAAACGTGTTGGCAAAGCCAAAGTCTGTGATGATGATGTTTCGATTGCGATCCAAGAGCAAGTTTTCCAGCTTGAGGTCACGGTGCACGATGCCCTTCTTGTGGAGGTAGCCCACTCCAGAGACCAGCTGAGAAAAGAGTCGGCGTGCTGAGTTGTCTTTTAGATAACGGTGGTTCAAAATGTAGTCAAAAAGCTCGCCTCCAGATGCGTATTCGAGAATAATGCCAATGTATCTATCGGTTTCAACCATGTCTATCAATCGCACAATATTTGGGTGGTGAATGCCGCGGAGAATAGTGACTTCGCGCTTAATCTTGGCCAACCGAGTTGGGTTGTGGCCTACGGTATCTCTTTTGATGAGTTTAATGGCAACCTGTAGAAAGTTTATGTTAGCATTGCCAGGTTCCTAGTAATAGCTTTGTTCACCAACTTCTCCTCTTCCTCAGCTGAATCTCACTCTTCACTCTCATTCTCACAATTTGGGTATGGGGATCAAAGAGAGAGAGAATCAACACTCACTTGCACGCTGCTATCCTGCTTCCAGCCAAGCTTCACCTTTCCAAACTCTCCTTCACCAATCGTGTTTCCCAGGATGAAGTCGCCAAACTTGGTAGTCGCCTTGTTGTTGCGACTGTGGTCATGGCGGCTTCGAGCGCCGCGTCGCTCCTCGGAGCCTGCGTTCATGGATACGACAGGAGGAGGCGCGGCGGGATCGACGTCGTGGGGTGCGTTCTGGTAGGCTCCTCGGCCGGTCGCTTCTTCGCCGTTGGAAATGACCCGGTACAGGTTTTCGCTGGCCTCGCGGGACGGCTTGGAGTTTGTTGCTGTCTGATGAGTACGGACGGGGATGGGGATGGAGGAAGGAGTATCGGCGGCATGGCCACTTCGAACGCTGGGCACCGCCTGGGCCGCGGCCGAATCCTGCGGCGTGTGGTAGCCCTGAGCCCTCTTGCTCCGGGCATGGTCGGCGGTGCCATTTGTGTCACCGCGAGGGGCGATCCGCGAGCCGTCGGTCTGCACGCGGCGCGGTGAATTGTTCATCTTGTCGCTGCGTCCCTGGCTGGCGTCGGGATTGTTGGAGGAGGTTCGTGGAGGGGCGGTAGGCGCGGACGACAAGCGGTCAGTCCTGGACTGTTGGTCGGCCGCACGAGTCGCGCTGGTGGGAATGCGAGAGCTCACAGGAGCGCTGGCGTCGGACGGGACAGAGGCGCCGGGGCCGCTGGACTTGCGAGAGGAAGGGCGCCTTGACGATGGTGGTGTTGAGGCGCTCTGCTGGGCATTGTGGATTTCCCGATTGGGGGAAGACTGCGGCTGCGAGAACTGGCGGTTGGAGGGCGAAGGCAACGCGGTTGGCTGGTGAGGAGGGGCCGTCTGGAGAGCAGCCGACGACATGCTTCCGCGTTGCTACGGGATGATTGCCGGCCCACTAAGGCCAATCGACGGACTTGCGCGGACTCGGCGAGCGCAGCTCTAGAAGAAAATAGTGCTTCGAGGATCCCCAGGTGCCTTGTGCGAGAGGACCAGCCGCTGTGATGGCTGCGCGGCGCTGATATCAAGCTCGACGGTATGTTGTAGCGACTCGGCAGTCGAATGCAGGAGCGCGCCGCGGATGGGAAAGGCTCCGAAGCAGCAAAGCACGAGTAGCGTGTCGTGGTGGTGTATATTAGAGAAGAGGATGGATGAGAGAGAGAAATGGGTCACAACAGTCAGACGGGCTGCTAATCAAATCAAACAAGGAGTGGTGTGTGAGCCGTGCTGGCGAGGCCAAGGGCGACCAAAGACAAGATTCAGGTCCTTCTCTGAACAGCGCCAACAAGCCAATTCAGCACAGCACTAGTATTTCATGGTCGACCACAGTGAACACGGGCTTTGTTTTCTTTTTTTCCCTCTCTGGCCTTGGATGTTTCACAGACGAAGCGTCGCCGGCCAGCAGATGGCAGAAAACTGCGTCCCCTGAGTGGACAGGCCGGGTGGACGCGCGCAGGCCCCAGGGGGTTGCCAGAGAGAGACCGGCCGCTGGGAGGAGCTGACAGGGTTGTGCAGAGTAGCGGCAGCAGTAGGGCGGGATGCGCTCGGATTGGGTGCCTCTTTCGTCCTCCAATATGCCAGCCGAGTGCTGGTTCGTCTCAGCGCGACCCGGCAGGCCGACGAGTTGAGGTTATCGAGAGTTGCAGACGGCAAGACGAGAGGCGCTGCAGGCAGAGGTTTGGCTCGTTAGTGGAAAGCCTCAGCAGTTGCTTTTCTTAGCTGAGCTGAGCTGAGCACTTGACGCCTTTGCCACAGTTGCGGCGCGAGGTACAGATTGCTAGGCGCAAGGGCGAGGCAGGTACACGGCGAGCGTCTGAGCTACCAGAATCTAAAAAAAGCCCAAAGTTACATACAGGTCCTGAGGTAATCAATTGTGCCACAGGTAAGATCACCAGCGTCAAGGAAAATCTATTTACGATCCAGTTGGTAATACACATCATTGCACATGATACGCTGCGGTTGAGGCAGAAACGAGGGCGAGTAAAGGCCAAGGGCTCAAGGGCCAGCTTTTGCGAAATTGAAATTGACGGCTGCATCAATGAGATGAGCAGCACAGCGCGGCAGCCTCAGTGGAGCCCTTCTAGCGGAGCTTCCAGCGCTACGCCGCCTGTAGTGGCTCCAGGTGGCCCTGGACCTGGACCCGAGCCCGGGCCTGGTACCTGAGCACATGCACGGGGCATGCATGCGTGCGCTGTACTGCTGCAAATGCTACCATCACCAGCCGACCTCGTTCGCTGCGAGTACCTGCTGCCGCGCGCGCCTGTCCGCGACGCTCGAGGTATCTGCCGCCGCGCAGTTGTCGCAGCCGAAACGCGCTAGATCCAGGGGTCCCCGTCGTTCCTGCATGCGAGCCGCAGCGCCTGTACGAGCCGGATATTTATTTATATTGCAAGCAGCAGCGCAGCATGCATGACTGACGGGCGGCGTGGGAGCGTCACGGCGCAGGAAAAAAACCCCTCCAAATTAGCTCAATCTCACCCGAGCAACGGCAGCCCTGGAGCTGCAAACACTGAAATGAACCCGGGCCTGTGAGTCCATCCATGTCAATGATGGTCATTGTTGATGCCTGTGCTTGGCAGGTGAGAGCCACCAATACGGTGAATGAATGGATGAATGGACACCGAGGTAAAGAAGATTTACAAGCAGAATCGTTCAGAGCTGATATCAAGACGATGGCTAAGCTCATTCTCATGATCCATACGAGCACTCAGCATACTTGTACGCAACCTGGGTTTATTACCGCTCCCTCCCCTCCAGATGCTCCATATACAGTAGGTACACCTCCCATAAACCAAGCTGGACGGTAGCTACATGTATGCTTCGGTGACGCCGCAAACAAGCCCGCTTGGACTTGGCCTAGGCGCAAGGGAGAGGCCCGTAGCGCAGCCGTGAGGATCCATACAAACTTCGAGTTGTTTTGCGCTTCTATTATAATTAGACATAAACAAAAAAAAAAAAAAAAAAAGGGAACTTGTTCGCTTGGGCAGATTTGCAATTCAATGGTAAAGTCGAGGGAGAGAAATAATGCAATTGCAATAGAAGCGGCGAAATAACATCAAGTGCCACCGTCTTTAATATTGATCAATTCAGAACTATACGACACTAATAAGGAGCATGAAATCTTAGCTGCTGGAGCTCTCCAAATTTCAAATTTCGATCGCGCATCCGCCGTCGTGCGGGCTTCCCTTCGCCGCTACCCCAGCACGAAATAGAGAGGAACATGTGCAGGAAATGCGGGCGGCTAGGCCAGAGCACTATATGCACATGTACTAAAATAATCTCGATCCCGGCTGTGAGATTGCGATGCTGCGCGCTTTTTGGGCCATACAGCGCAGGCAGGCCTGCTGAAATCAGTAATGCGCCCTGGTAGCAATATTACTACTAGTACTTTGTACATATTGAAGCCCCGGGCTTGAAATCATATGATGATGCTTCCACCAAAAGTGACCTCATCAATGCTAGCATCCAAGCAGTATTTTAACCCGAATCCTCACTTAGCAGATTGCCCTATGGGTAGCTCTTCTTCATGCTCCATCGACTAACTGACTAGATAATTGTGCGAGTAACTCAACTACTGCTAGTAAACCCACGTGTATCCAGCTCCTATTGCTGCTCCTATCGCTGCTCCAAGTTGCTGATGCCACAAACCAAAATCAGAAGAAGCTACCAATGCTACAGGAAATCCCAACATGCTCGTATGGCTTGCACATCACCGCATGACATCCAATTAGGCATGTCGCCATTGTTTACGTATAACTCTCTAATACCGCTGCTAGTAAATATGATCTATGCCTGGATGTAAGACAAAAAAAGGTTATTTTGCACCCTTTTTCTTTTGTTTATCAAACCTGCCCAAGCATTGAAACACTCCTTTTCATCATCCGTCCAATCCCTTTCTCAGCGCAACACACCCACCTCACAAAGAGCACCTACTCAATGTGTTTTAGTTGTAACTCTTTTTTGGTTTGCAACACAGGACCAGCTTATTCCAACTTTCAATTTTTCTTGTTTTCTTTTCGTCTTCTCCCGGGTTGGGTCACAACATACGAGATAATGCCCCCGCTTTCCAGGCCCTTTTGTGAACGAACCCGAGACAAGGCTCGCTCAAAGGTGAAACCCGTGTGGCACATCCCCAATTTCCCCCAATCTGCATATCGTAAACATTGTTTCGATCCCATTAATGTCGATGAAACAAATTCTCCGTGCGCTCTTTTGTCCTTGCATTTTGTATGTCGTAGTACTAGTATATATGCTTTCACTGGGCACAAAGAAAAAAACACACATCGCGTTTGCTAGGTATGGAGTATCTCGTTTGAAGGCCCCGTCCTGGCATCATTTCGCAGATCCACCGCATTGTTCGTGGCCCAAGAGAAGCGCTTGCTGATCGCATTGATGCCGGAAATGAGCGACTTGGCTTGGACGCGTTAAAATAGCTTCATATTAGCTCTCGATTCGTCAAGTCACCCGCAACTCATCCTGCAGGAAGGATCAAGGGGTAATCAATCGCTATGCATTTATACTTTCTACTACGTAGTGCTAGTCATTCTGCAGCCAGGATAACGGCCGGCCCATGCTATTAAATCGTCGATTAGCATCTGTGCACACGAATAAGATCGCCTGATGAGATGCTAGATAGCCGTCCAACTCTGCTTAGCGCGCCAAGTCTACAAACTCAACATCCGAAGTGGTGTCTTGCATGAAAAGCTTCGGCTTCCTTCAAGCACTCTCATCCAATCGGAGCATCGACATGATGTTAGTCAATTGCCCAATGTAGACGAGAAGCCTCTCTTGTTGTGTCTCAGATTCCTGTTCTGGTGCTGTATGCACCTAGGGTAGACACTACGTATTAGAGTTGAAAAGTCAAAGTGATGCTGTCGACCGTTTGGATGAAGTCGGCTGATAGCGGACACTGACATGTGGATCGTATGACCATTACAGTCATTACAGTCTTTTCTTGGTATATGCTATTTTCCAACACGTCTTACAGTTTGATGGATATATCGTAGATATCAAGCAGTACCGCAACACCCGTAACAGTCGCCGTGTAGGCTATGAGAATCCCCATAGCCTGAACCGGAGTGGCATCCAGTGTTGGAACAGTCATATTAACAAGACCAGTCAGCAGATTAGCAATGAGAAACACTGCCAGGCCATTGCGGTTGTACGCTTTCAAAACATAGCTCGTGGCCACTTCGTAGGCTTCTTTCTCGGATCGGGCATCCGCTGCGTTGTAAAAGGCAGGGAAGAAAATAGTATCGATGACGCAGAAAGCTAGAATCTGCCACGAGTTGAAAGCCGCCACCCAGAGGACATAAGGTAGGTTGGCCAACCGGCGCGAGACTGTCAAGCCAAACCCAAAGTTGTAATTGGTGGTAACGGTGTACAACACGGTCCAGATTCCGGCCCAAACAGCAATCGTCATGAGCAGAGTATTTCTTTGCATGCCCGCTGGCGAATTGCTGCTTGATGTGATATTCCGAGGAATAACGAACTTGCCGAGGTCCTGTCCAGCAAGGAAGATGGAGAGATAGCCTATGAAGCTAAAGACACCCTCTCTGTTCATGGAGAGCAGATCTACCCTAGGGGCGGTGAGAACAAATGCTTTGAGATCCGTGCTTTCAAGGACGACCTGGTATGTGCCCACGAGGAGCAGAGCCAGTGCTGCATGCGACGGAATGACATCGAAGATGGTCTGGAAGATTGCCACAAAGGGAGGAAGGAGGCCCAGTGTGAAGAAAAAATTCCAATGAACTCCGTACTCTGACACGTGTTCGGCATATTCGAGTCCTTTGACACTCAAAAGGCGAATGAAACCCAGCACCAGCAGCGGGATGGAATGGCGGAACGATTGCAGTAAACGGACAGCCAGTGAAGTGTGACGGCCCGTGGCTCTTTCTTTGAGGACAGGACGAGCTGCCACAATGCCGGCGGAGAAGACAAAAGAGCCAACGCCCATGTCCATCAGGGACGTGCCCCAGGTCTCGACCTTGGCGAATCGCCGCGGAAAGAGGCGGAAATCCACCGCCAGGATGGCAACGCAAGTGGTGATCATCATGTATCCACGATACGTCGTAAGAAAAGGTTTGATGCTCAGAACGGGACGGGGCTCTGAGGTGGCTTTAGACTGGGCATTTGGAGGAAGCTTGGGCTTTCTCTTTGCCCCTCCGGTGGTAGAGGGCAGGAACCATATCAAAAGAGCCGGCGCGAGCAGAAGCAGGTTCAGCAACGCGGGTGAATCTGCGTAGAGAGTGATACCCAACAGAAAAGTGCCTACAGTGAGTGAGAAGTCGACGACAAAGCCGAGGGCAGAGTAGGGCCTGAAGAAGGACTGCCGCGTCTGAAGAACAGACCACAGCAGCATGGCCGCCTAATGCTCGCAGGTTAGCACTTGGCCTGAGAAACAATCGCCACTAGACAAAAGACAAACTCACGGGCGCTACGGCTGTGACGAAGCTGATTTCAGAGACGGAGCCGCCCGTCAAATTGGACACGAAGTCCTCTTTGCGCTGCTTGTAGCTCGCCATGTTGAGACTCAGCGATATTACGAGTTAGTTGTTCAGGGGGTGGAATCCAATAGCCTATCGCATGATAGCTAAATGACAATAAAGCTTGTAGACAAGGAAACAAGAAAAAATAGTACGCTGAGCGTGTTTTTCCAACGACGTCCAAGCGTTGACGCTCTTCCTTTGATGCTTTTTGCTGTGTTGTCAATCCAATGTTGAAAGGCCGCGGTCATGTAAGCCAATCATTTTGCGCTTCGTGGACAATTCTCGCTCAGTATGGGCCATCACGTGCGCGGGACCAGGATTAAGCATATGAGCGCATTTGCCGTTCAGGCAGTGAGTGGCCTAAACGTCTTGCTTCAACTTTAAGAAAAAGGAAAAGCCAAAAAAAAAAAAAAAAAAAAAAAGGAGAGGTCGGTTCTTGAAAGCACTTTCATGTTGCGCAATCAAGTTGGCACCTGTCTCCCGCGGAAAATCCTTTTCTTTGTTGCAGGGAGCAAACTCAGACCACTGACAATGCGCAGGCCTTTGTCGCCAGTGACCGCATCGCCGTCACCAACCACCGGTTGGCCTTTGTGTGATACACGCCCCCTAAAAAAAAAGAAAAGAAAAATCCTGAACAGATGGGAGAATAGGGAAAATGAAGCGGGCAATGGTGAAGGAGTGGACGCAGCGCAATTAAACCACGCCGTTGTTGCAGCATCAAAGAGCTGTGATATGGCAACAAACGTTGAACATGCTTGCTTTAGAACTTCGATATATCAACCTTGATACTTCATCAAGATTTACGATATAACTCTAGAAGTCTTCCTATCTTTTAATCCCTAGAAGAAAAACCCCCTCGCAGCTGTATCTGATAGCGATACTTCTTTCATTTACATGCGATTCAACGCACAGATAGCCATTCCGTACTCTCGCCATGTCGTCCATACATGCTCGGAGCCGCCGAGCCCATCTCGCTCCTATCAAGACCGACACTTCAAGCCTCCCGGACATCTCCCGCAGATACTCAAGTCGGCCATCTTATTCTTATGGTGGGATAACTCACTCAAGACTCAACTCAATCGGCTACGCACAAGATGTGATGCACTCTGGTCCCAGCCCCATGAGACGCAATCCCAGCGACGCTTCCGAAATGGGGGCTCCCTATGTTTGGGTTTCGAAGCAGCTCTGCCCAACTCCCGTGTCTGAGATCTCGCCGCACACAAAGGTCTGGCCTACTGTGCTCGAGGCGCATGCTCGAAGACCCCGGCAAATGTCTCTGGGGCATGGCGATGTGTTTCGACAGAATACATCTGGGCCACTTCGAGTGTCGTATACTCGAGCGGCGAGTCGCAGACAGTCTATGTATACCTATAGAGCCCGCAATCGATCTACAGATATGGAACTTCAGCGGAATCAACAACTTCGTCTCTCGCTGTGGGAAAGAGGTCATAGGATATTTGGCCTCCCAGGAGAAGCCGATGTTTTTGTCAAGCCACTGCATCTCAGCCGGCCACTTAAAGAAATCAGATCGTGGACAGAAGAGCCGTCTTCCGCGTCACCGTTGTCTCAGCGCGTCTTTGTTCGTGCCGTTATTCGCTCAAAATCTCACGGCCGCATAAAGCGCATTGGCCTGAAGCGCGAATTCAAGCTGGACGAGTTGAGAGCCACAGCACTAGATCCTCTACCTGGTCCTCAGTCGAAAAACTTCAATCGTCAGGTACTACTATCCAGACTACAGCTATCTGACGAAGATCTAGAAGCCCAATCTCCGGTAGATTTAGACATGGCCGATGATGGTGATGACGATGTCGTTGTGAAGAAAGAGAAGACGGAACTGCCTCCGATGCTCGAGCATCCGCAACCCGTGCCCAAGGCAACTACTGTACCTATGAGTAAGTGACCTCCTCTTAGTAGCAGCTTTATGCACATCATCAAAACTAACACACAAAATCTAGGTCTCCCATATGCGCGATCACAGTTACCAGCATTAGCTGCCGTTATGATGTCGGGCGAAGTTAGGCGAGGAGATACGATACAACTTGCAATGCCTCATCCGAGCGAGTGGCCCTCGACAATAGCCTACGTCTATACTGGGGAGAGAGAGCTCCTTACAGAGGAGGTTAGGGATAATATTCTGTATCTTGGAGGCAAAGTTTAAGGGATGATGATGATGAACGACATGATATGACGCGAGGAGTTTGGATGAATTTTAAATGACTTTGATGAATTTTCATGATTTATACTGAAAAGCTATTTAGTTTAGAGATGCCGTAATGCCTAGCGAAACAATCACGTATTCTTGTTTTTATTGTATGCTAAATGAAAGAGCTGGTCTATACTTCTTGTTTTGACAAAGAATAGCGTTATACCCTAATATAATTCCACTTCTCTCTCATATCCTTACTAGAGCGCAGAGAATGGCTAGCGATATGTCTTTCGCTTTCCATCGGAGCAGTGTTCAAATACTCAATTTGTTCAAAGGGTGTGTACAAAATACTTGATCATCTCATTTGTATACCCCTCGTAGTATTATCCGCCTTTATTTCCGCGTTCTCCATCCTCCATCCTCCATTCGGTGTTGGTATTTATGATAGTCGATTACATGTACACGTGCTCCGAAGATTTAGCAGGTCACAAGCACACATAAAAAAGTATAAATTTTCTTTATAATCACGAGTATCTTTATTAATGCTATGATTCATAATATTGCTAGATAAGAATTGTAATGGCCGCATCAATCCGCTTACAATCATATATTGCTCTGCATTCTACCCAACCTGCGCCCCGAGTGTCTCATCAATACGAGGCCGTGAGATGACAGACTGAACCGGTTGAGAACGAAACGATGTAACGTGTTGCTTTTAAAAAACTTGAACTGAAGACAGTAATGTAATGGATGCTCTACGCCTTCATAATATGGCTGTGTGGTGAAGACGGCCGCTAGGTGGGATGCGAAAACTGCCGGCGTCAGAGGAGAGACACTGATAGAGAATTGCAGCTACACAGCGATTTAGCTAAAGCGATGAACGGTAAATCGGAGATGATGAATTGTTTCAGCAAATAACAAAATATCCTCAATTCTCACTGAAAGACACAATCGCCATTGCTCCAAAAGAGTATTATCAATCGTCTTTGCAGCATCGAGCTTCATAGAGCGTCTCGTTGTGTCATAGACATGCTAGAATCTCTATCAGTTGAGTTTAGTGCAGCGTTAACTGAAGTGTTGAAGAATATTACAAGTACTATGCGATCAATTGATGATGAAATTCATTTCTGTAGGCGCCTTTGTTCAAGTTAGGGCCGCCACCCTCTGTCCTATCGACAGTTGGGAGTACCTCTTGTGTACGCTATGAGCTCCTTCTCGAAAAGCATCTTATGGTGAACTAAAGACACGACACTTCGAGTAATTGCTAGAATCACAGGAGATAAAGCTTGAAGATACGCAGCAGCTATAAGATTGGCTCTGACGTGTTCGCTCTTCAAGCGGGCTGAGACGGACTCAGCGATGCGATTGTGCTGCGTTAGAGTTGGTTCTATACGCCAGACAGAGTAGAATAAACATTAATTAAGAAAAATATATATCACCAGTGTCAAGCCAAGAGAGATACATTCTTCATTGTCATCATTTAACTCCAGGCATAGAGTGCATTACGGAATAATACCTCTCAGTTTTCTTTGCTTCATCTTCATTCTGGTGGATGAAAAGATCAGCAACAGCAAGTAGCGGCGTATAAGCGCTCTCATTTACCCATATACAAAAAGCCGATTACAACCTAAATGGCACAATACACAGTTCAATCCAGGCTGAAATAAGTTGTCATTTGTAAAGCTCAAACGCTATTCTCCCAGATCCAAGTTCCTCTCGCCCCCTATCCATGGCCGTTGGTTTCATTCCAAGTCTTCCAGTCAACACAAATTTTATGGATTTCTCTTGCAAAAGTATATCAAAAGTAACAACTAAGTGCATGTATGAACTACTCATGCTTGTCAACTACACTATAGGCAGTAAAAGATGCGTTCAAAGATTAATACACGTTGTAACACTAGCCGCAACGCATCACAAAACATCATAGACAAATCATTCCATCCCACCAAATAAGTCCATATTAATATGGCCGCGTAATCGCTCAAAAAGCACATAGCGTATCCATATGAATACTCTTAATGTTATAAATCAAGCGCGAGTTGGTGACTCATTCCTCCGTTCCTTTACCACACTCTCACCTCCATCTCCATCTCACCACACGATCCTTTGTCTAGGACTTCGTAAGATGTAACTACTTACGTCCTCTCTCACCTTGACATATCAACTTCATGACTAAAGAGGCGAGACAAACAAGAAAAGAAAAACATCATCATCACCACCCACCACAAAAAATTCTAGCGCTCCAATCCCACATTCACGCCCTACCCTCTTCTTCACCTTCAGCTCAACTAACCAGCATCCCCTACCGTAGATATCCCAACTAAAAAAGCCCGTAGGGCTGGACTAAGCCGGGCATCCTCACTCAGCCCGCCATAACTAATCGATACGAGACCACCCATCATTCCATTCCATTATTCTCAGCTGAACGCCGCCGCGCCAGTAAAAGAACAGTGGCAAAAATGACGATTTGCTCCTTAGCTCTTACAAAAATCTTCACCGGACTGGGGCTAAATCGTGCGGCCGTCGAATCGTATAGCGTGCCCCCTCCCACCCATACTGTAACGAACTTCCATCCTCTCCGGAGCACGGAATGTGGGAGGATTAGTGGTGCGAGTTCGCATGCGTATACAAATATACAAATGATAATTAGTAAGTTAGCCTGTTGGTTCTCTCTCAAAATTGACAGATCGCACCCATCGATAGCCGAATCTCCCGTCATCATATTCACAATACGGAAACATCAATTTTTACCAATTTCATATTTTATACTAATACCCTTGGGTGAGCGACGCAAATTCGGAGGTGTCCTTCAGCGGGCGTTGTAGCTTCGGTAAGGGACGATATGGGATAGCAGAACAGTACTAAAAACTACCAAAAAATACCTACAAAGAGGCACCGACGAGAGCCGGGCTCTTTGCAAATTAGTCATTTATACATTAGAGGGCCGTTTGTTGTTGTTGTTGTTGTTGGTCATCTGCTGTCGATACCACGTTTTGCCTAGGTACCTCGCTCAATTCAAGCGGAAGAAACGCCGCCATCGACTGATCCGAGAGGAACTTTTTTTCTCTCTTTCTGGACCAAGCTTTCTTTGCCTCGGTATGTCCAACACAATCTAGAACCATTTAGCCAAGAGAAAACAAACCAGGGTAAAACTAAAACCGGTTGACATGTGGTGTTCTGTTGGCTCGCGTACGTAGGCAGAGCGGCATAGAAGCAACCCCCAACGGTTCGCGAACATCATACAAAGTACAAAGTATCCAGCTCATCAAAATCACAAGGGGAGGGGAAACAAGATAGCAGAAACCAACATCGTACCATAATAATTAGCATTGCAACCGTCTAATTTCGCAAAAGAACCCTCCAAGTGATGAAAAGAAACGATGACACGTACGCTTTTTTTCTTCTTGTTTGCAATCCAAAGACTGGCAAATTGCAACGGCGCACGTCTAAACGTTGGTCTCCATACTTGCGTACATGATGCACGCTTGATGCCGAATTCCAACATTTCGGCATCACGACTCGCAAGGTTTTGTTTTCCGTCTTTGCTCTGCCGTTTCGTTTCGTGCTTCACGCCCCCTCCATCTCCATCTCGTTCCATCTGCTACCATCTTCAAGGTCCCCCTCCAACTCCCTCATCTTGGTAGCATGGCCCCCACAGCTAGAGGTTAGCTCGGCCGAAAATATGCACAAAATTGTTCGTCCACCTGTCTTCTCCGCTGCACACTCCCTCTTTGGGGACATACGAGCAATAATAGCAGCAGAGTGTGCTATACTTGTATGGTAGTAGCACTGCAGCTTCCCCTCCCTCTCGGCTCATCCGCCTTCCCCCATCGATCATGATGCCCACGATCCATCATTTCCGCAAGGCAAGCGAACGACGCCTCACCTGAAAGTCGATAAGCCCCCATCCCCCGTATTCTTGCCTGGGGTTTCCACTGACTAGCTAGCCGGGGGAGGACGGCGTAGAGAGGAGTCGAGTGGGGATTTTCTTCATACAATTCCCACTCAGCTAATGCGATGTGTATTACCTCAGTCGCTGGTTCGCTTGACTCGGCCACCACCCTAACCAACCTGCAGGCTGGAGGCCCTGGCATTGATTAGAGGAGCAAGCAACACACACATATGAAAATATATTATATCTGATAGAATTGGGATCCAGAGATAGATGCACGACCGCAAGCAAGGAGTTGTCACCAAAGAGATATGACTGGCCCGCCAGCTGAGAGAATTGATGCCGGCTAATTTCCTCTTTGAATAAAATATGCAAGGTTGAATCAAAACCACCGAAGAAAGAGAGAGAAGAGTGTGATTGACGTATGTAACATCTTGATAAAAGAAGAGCACGGTTACAGGGGGAGGAAGATGGTGGGGGATACGGCCGAGGCGGAAACAGTCTGGCAGTTGGGGGGCCACAGGCCATGCGACGCCAATTTGATGCCAAGTCAAAGCTTACAAGGGCACTCTATCTTGCGTACATGTACGCGGGCCAGCGATCTTTGCCGCGCCTTCTCTGCCACCCGCAGGTTTTGGACTTGGTACCTGTGAACCTGTGAGGTGTATCAAACTATGCACATGCCTGCGCTCTCCTGGCCTCCGTCTTAGACGAAGCTTTCACACGTCCGTCTGGCCATCCGTCAGCTTAGTAGAGCCAAGCAGGTGATGATACTAATAGGAGTAATGTTAGTGGCAGGCCTAATACGTAAGCAAGTTGGGCAGAAGAAGAGTCAGTCAGAGCCAGTCAAAACAAACGGTGCTTATCCTGATTTCTTCCACTTTCCCCCGCGTTTGTAGTATCAGGGTAGCAAGACTACAGTCATCCGTCCCGCAGTGGCCCGACTTACGGAGGTAAACCGCCGCCGCAATACAATGGACCTCTCTCTTCGAGTGGATACAGAATGGATCGTAATCATTCTATCTAGCTTTGCGTGCAACACATCTGGGGGGGAAGCTACCGCAAGAAAGAGGACCGCGAAAAACAATCGGAGAGGGGCGATGTCGCTTCTGGAGTCGCT